TGGGAGCAAAGTAATATGGAGAATCAGGACTGATTCGACGGGGAAAAGGACGAAGGTGGCGGAGGAGGTCGCCCGGGCGGCCACGTGAACATTTATCGACCAGTCAGTCATCCAACCTGCAACCCTCATTCCAGCGACCCACTCGCACACATCATTCATTAGCTTTTTACAGGGATATACTGAAAAACAAACAAAAAAAACATAAAGATGGTGTTAGTGTATAGTTTATGCAGTGTGCATTCAAAGTATATATTATATGAGGGTGAAAACAAGACAAGACGACAAAAAAAGAAGATGGGGCAGTATCTTATCAGCAAGAAAATCCTTCGATAAAGGATGAGAAGCTGCCACCTCATTTTTGCGGACCACTTGTAGAGTGAGTGCACGGCGTTTCGTGCCCATTACCATGGATATTGGTTCATCTTTTCGCTCCATGCACGGACGTGACAATTTCATAAAGTCTATTGCGTCTACACGTTATTTCTCCGCCGCCTTCGACCATTATTTTCCTCGGCCTCTCCAACGTCACCCTTTCATCCGCACGATCCGCGTTCCCATTATTACAGGAATAATGAATGAGACGAATATTTGAGCATTCGATCTTATTTGAACGAGAGGCCCGCAAAATTAATTAGCGCCATCTCATCCGAATTTCTAATTCAAAATCCATTTTAATTCAATTTTTTTCTTTTTTATTATTATTATAATATCCTCCTCCCTGTTCGTTCATTTCATCGACAAACGGACGTGCCCTTTTTGGGTAAACTATTTAATGAAACGAAACCGACATCAATTCCGCCCCCGAACTGCGAGTGTTTAAAAATAGCCAACCGAAATATTTTCGCCCATCCGCAAATAGAAACTGTGACACGGGGGCGGCCGGACTTCCTAATTGTTACTTTAATTAACGGATCGCTAATTAAATGTTAAGCAATTAGGCGTGCGGTGGGCGCGGATTCCGTATTGTGGATGGGTTTAATTTTAGACAATTGTTCGGACGCTTTTAAAAGCCCACTGAAAGCCAGTTTCGGTGCTCGAATTGCAGGAATTCAACTTGTTTCAACTTAAGATATTACTTATATGCTTAAGGGAAAACTTCATGCCCGATAGTCAAATAGTGCAATCCCAGGAGGAGCACTCTCGTTACTTTAATCAAACGCTCCACGGCCAACTGAATGCACGCTCTCTTTCAATTAAATTGCATTTATAATTGAATATGGAATTTAAGGAAATGCGAATATTTTATACGAAAACATCTGGATGCGAGCGATGAGTTTGAATTTTTAACTAGAATTAGTGATTGGTCCCTAGAGTTGCTCAGGTTCGTACATTTTTTATTCTGCGTTTATCCTTTCGTTTTTTTTTTTCTTCTTCCCTTTGCGAGGGTTGTATCCGGCCATCCACTTTGGCTGGTGTCCAAAATGGTTTGTGTCATTACGTCCATCATACGTCCAGCTCATTCTACCTTACTTAGAGCGAGTCTATTTCTATTTCTATCTGTAACATAAATACAATTCAAAAACTATATAAAGTACTGATCATTTATAATGCATTTTTTTTATATTTCGTAGAAAAATGTATAACAATTTCTTAGCATTTAAGCTTTTAAGAAAATTATGTAATTTTTTTTAACATTTATGTAAGACGAATATAACTTTTGAAGTACTCGCTCTAAATTTATAATATTTTGACAAGTCAATACATGGGAATTTTTATATTAGGATAATCCAGCGCTCCTACCTCGTCTATTGATACGTTCTGTCCTAGTTTATAATTATGAGGTAAAGCTGAGGTCTCTTTCCTACTTTGTACGAAGCGATAATACTTCATGTCGATGTTTAAAAATCTTGTAAATTCTACATTTTTTTAAAATTACAAACTCATATCAGGAATGTATTTTAAATCTATATTTCTTAAGATTTTATATATCTTCGATTTTCCATATTACTATTCGCTATCAATCTATTAACATAAATATGTTTCTACAAATTTAAATGTAAATATTGCTTTATGTAAGGAAGGCCCATCAGATACACCATATTTTAATTTTCTCCTATTTTTGTTTCTATATGAGCAGTCATCTCTATTTTTTGACATTTGTCATCTGCTGTTTTTGAGATTATTAAAAATGGGATTGTTAAAACACAATACAAGTTTGGCTAAAGTTTTGCAGAGATTGTTCGAAAAGTTTTTTTTAAACATCATCTTAAGCGATGAAACTCATTTTCATTTGTTAATAAGTAGAATTGTGGAATTAAAATCCTACAGTTATTAATGAAAAAACGATGAACCCATAAATAGTCACTGTTTTGTGCGGATTATGGGCTGGAGGTGTAATTGTACCGTTCTTTTTAAAGAATGATCTCACTTTTTGTGGGATCAATTGGACGATATGGACCTAGAAGAAATGTGGTTTCAGTAGGATGATGCCACAAGCCATACAGCCAGAGAAACCATCGATTTGTTAAGATAACATTTTCCTGGTCCTCTGATTTTCAGAAATGCTAACATTAATTGATTGCCCAGATCTTGCCAATTTACACCATACGATATTTTCCTTTGGTGTTTTGTACAATCCAAGGTATATACCAGGGGTAACCAAACTGTGGCTCGCGAGCCGCATGCGGCTCTTCAAGGCTCAACTAGCCACAACAAAACACAAATATTATATATATTTTATATTATGATTGAGATTTTTTTAAAATTATTATACTAAAAAATTTAGGCGCGGCTCTTGCTGCAAAAAGTCTGGCCACCCCTGGTGTATACTAACACACCACAAACAATTCCTGAACTAAAAACAGATATTTCTAAAATTGAGTCAACTGCCATGCAAAAAGTCTTCAAAGTCTACTTTATAAATCAATAAAAAAAATCCCAATAAAATAATAATTTACTGTGTTTCATTTCAAAATTAAATCCGATGGGCCACCCTATAATATAATATTAATCACGTTTCTTTATTCAGTATCTCTTTTAAAAAAAATCAATAATATGAATTCAGTGAGTATCGTAATGGGACTTGAAGTCTTAAGTGCACAAACTCATATATAATAATAAATTTTGATGGTAGTTCAATAAGATTTCCTTCTCAATAAATTATATTGTATGTAATATTGAACAATATTTAAAGTTTTCATTTAACAAAATTTAATTAATAATTATTCAAAAGTATGGCTCCTATTCGTGAAATATTAAAACAATATTGTTGAATATTGCTTGATATTCAAAAATAATTGATATAATATGTTTTGATGTAGGCAACTTATAATACATAAGTCATGAAAATTTGTAGTATATATTTTCATATAAAGAAGTTTGAATATAATAATAATTAATTGAATTTAATATACATTATGAAATTAACATTAAGTAACTCTTGTATTGTAATGAATTGCATAATGGTGAACCCATTTTTATGTAGTAATAAAATATGATAGAAGTTTCATAACTTATGAGTTATTAATAAAAGAAAATATCGAAAAAATGGATACGCATCATACGTAACATTTCTTTTGTAAGTTGCACAATGCACAATCTTATTTACAGTAGACTCGTTAGAAAGATGAGACTTTCATCTTTATTTTCTTGTGTTTAATGATCCAATTAACTTTCCTTGTTGTCTAGTAGTTTATTAAAATGTGATTACATCGACAAATTATAATTTATCAGTTACGTAATTGACATTAAATAAGTTTTGTTAAATAATAAATTAAATAACGGGGTTCCATTCTTAAACAATCATAAAATATGAAAAGTTTCATAACTTTTGAGTTATTAAGCGAAAAATAATGAATACTCGTCAGTACATAACATCTTATACGTAGCAATTCTGGCCTTTATTTCATTCAACAATAACATGTGAAAAGTGTTTTATTTGTCTACTTATTAAGGGAATACTAAAATCTCTATCAAGTCGTGTTTTTAACATAAAATTTGGAAATTTTCAAAACTCTCAAAATTGAAATGTTATATAATCATTCAACTTTCTTTTTTTTTACATTTCTAAAAGCATAAAGGTGATGACTACCTTTAAAGCTTTAAAAGTAGAATTTCGTAAAAGAAATTCATTTAAAATATACAGTGAAACTTCGCTTAACGAGCACCTCGTTTAACTAGCATTTCGCTTAACGAGCAAAATGAATTGTACAAAAAATGACTCGCTTGACGAGCGATGTTTCGCATAACGAGTTATTTTTTGAGAATGATCTAACTTTTTGTGGGATCAATTGGCATGGACCTCGAAGAAATGTGGTTTCAGTAGGATAATGCCACAAGTCATACAGCAAGAGAAACCATCGATTTGTTAAGATAACATGTGAAAAGTGTTTTATTTGTCTACTTATTAAGGGAATACTAAAATCTCTATCAAGTCGTGTTTTTAACATAAAATTTGGAAATTTTCAAAACTCTCAAAATTGAAATGTTATATAATCATTCAACTTTCTTTTTTTTTACATTTCTAAAAGCATAAAGGTGATGACTACCTTTAAAGCTTTAAAAGTAGAATTTCGTAAAAGAAATTCATTTAAAATATACAGTGAAACTTCGCTTAACGAGCACCTCGTTTAACTAGCATTTCGCTTAACGAGCAAAATGAATTGTACAAAAAATGACTTGCTTGACGAGCGATGTTTCGCATAACGAGTGACGATGAGAAGAGAAGTCCCGGATTGCGCGACTGCTACATCATTTTTAAAACATATTATGTGTACTTTTGAATATGTTTCACTATACGAGTAAAAATCCGGAAATTTTGGAACGGATTAAACTCGTTAAGCGAGGTTCCACTGTATTCTTCTGAAGAAATCTGTACATGTCTTATCCAAATGCTTTATATTTTATGTAGACTTCATAAGACTTCAACATATTCTAGAAAATAAGATAGAAACTCAAATATCAAGAAAATCTAATAAGATGTGCTGTAATATTGGTTGCATGCTTAGGAATTGGAAATCCCATCTCTATGTTTGGTTGCAGTTGCAATGAGATTTGACAATTTCATATGTCAGTAGCGTCAGAAAAAATGCAGATACTCTGAAAGATGTGTTTTGTACTGTGGTGAAAATTAAGTCGTCTCTAATTTTTTTTTGCCCCCCCTTTTCGTTTTTCGTAATTTAATTTTATATATCTTTTATATGAACAAAATTGTATGGGAACGGTGTGCGGATGTACGATAGATAAATTGAGAGAGAGCCATGTCGCTGGAACAACAAACTACTTGCGAAGGTATCACTTGAGGTATAATCTTTAGAAAAATCATCATAACCTATAAAGTAGATGTTATTGCAGATTTAAAGGCCTTCGAGAGGCGACTGACTGAAGTGATATCCTGTTTGCAGCCAGCCACAACACGATGGAGAAGTATATATCAATTTGTGCATCTGCAATATCAATAATAAACATATTGCATTCAGACTCATCAACCTTATGTTATTGCAGATTTGCACACACATAAACAAGTTAATTTATGCAACCATAATAACGTTCGTTTTCTGTTTGCAGTTGTTCTCATTGTTGTCTCAATTTGTGTGGCAATCGGAGCTGGGCAATGGTTGATGGATCCAGTAACAAGGATAGTACCTTTACCACAATCACTTTCTAACCATCCCTTCTTTATTTTAGCCACTATAATGCTTCGTAAGTATAGAATCAAACTGTCTATGCATTATTGCATTTTCTTATATTTGTTTTTCTTTTCAGTTATTATTTTTATCCTGGGTGTACATAGGAGGGTTGTAGCTTCGTCAATAGTTATATCTAGGGTAAGGGAGGTTTTAGACGATTTTAACATGTCTTGTGATGACACTGGGAAACTGATCCTCAGAGCAAAAAAACTTACTTGACAACTATATTATATTAATTTAGATGCATACCAAAATGTACAATAAATAAATGAATTCCTTTGTAACTGTGTGAGTCTTTCATAAATATACATTATCTCAAGATTATTTCTAATTTTACTTTTGTTACACCAAACAATACAAATAATACTTATTATCTTGTTTTGTTACAGATAATAATTTAAAAATTGTTTTTTACTCTTTTACAAAGATATTTATGTATTAAATTGTATATTTAATATAAAAATACATTTATACATAAAATAATAATTAATCTAAAATGCAAGTTGCTTTTTAAAAAAATTAATAATTTAACTTTTTCTGCATATACTGTTGGCAGCCAGTTCAGTTGCTAGTTAATTTATTGCTCGCTAGGTGCAAATAGTTGAAGTGCTGCCAATACACGACTCAGCACCACGCCAACGTTAAAAAATTGAAAGAGTTCCGATTTCGGACCGAAAATCTTCTTCTCTCCACTCATACTGCAGCCCCATACCAACTGTTATCTCGTAAAAAAAAATATTACAATTTTGCCACATCCTGTTGGCAGCATTGAACGTCAAAACACGAGTAACCTATAAATACCAGTGCAATTGCAGTAGCAAAAATACATTTAGTTTGTTCTGCATTTCATTCGTGTACACTACATTCAAAACAATGGCGTCTTCTTTGGAAAATTTGGAGTCTCAGTTGGAGCTGTTCGCTGAGAATGTTCGTCAAATTCATATCATCGTCAGCGATTTTCAACCACAAAGTCAGAATGTTTTAAACCAAAAACTGTAAGTAATTGTAAACAATTTTAACTAGTGTTTTTAGTGAATAATTCCTTGTTTCTAGGCAAGCATTGGTTCACGGTTTGCAAGAGGTAGATAAGCTGAAGTCTCAGGTTCAGGATGTTCATGTACCTTTGGAAGTTTTCGAGTAAGTTTCTTTAATTATTATTACTGAAAGCGTATATTCTTGTTGATTGTCAAAAATATATTTAAGTATATTTTGTCAACAGTAAGATGATATGCAGTAACATTGATATTTTAATAGCTATGTTAATCTACAAACATACACAAAATTTGTCATATTAATATTCAAGTATATTCATTATGATTAAAAAAGTTGTGTATTGTTATGTAGAAGCAACAAGATAAAAGAGATTGTTTAATTGGGTATAAAATACCTAAAAATGTGTTTTTGTATTGTTGCAATAAACGTTATTATTGTTTATTTGTAAACTAATTGTTATACTGATATTTGAATATTAGTTATGTTCTATTTGTAATTAAATTTTGTTTTGTGTTGTAGTTATATTGATCAAGGAAGGAATCCTCAACTATACACAAAAGACTGCATTGAGAAAGCGTTGGCTAAAAACGAACAGGTCAAAGGAAAGATTGATTCGTTCCGCAAATTCAAAGCCAACATGTTGCTGGAACTGAGCAAGACCTTCCCGAATGAGCTTAACAAGTACCGTGCACTTCGCGGAGATGAATAGTATTTATATAAGTAACTTTTCCAACGTATATTTAATTAACTTAATTACATTATTAATCTCATTTGTCGTTTTTGAGGTCATGGTAAACTACTCATTATTTTCTTCCCTTAGTTTTTAATAATTGTTACATATGTTTTATATTTAGATAGTACAAAACAATTACATTTTGTGAATAAATATTATCATCTCGAAATACTCGATCCTATCATTATTATATATATATGAGTCAACATTCTCCTCTCATCATCTTTGTATCAAACTGACAAGGCACCGGAGTTAAGCTACGATCACTGAAATGTATTTTTATAACTAGCTCAAGAATTAATGAATTTGCAGCTGTGCATTCAATATTTAACCATAGGAAAATTAACTGAACATATAACAATGTATTCTTTGAAAGATTACTTATACTTTAAAAACAAAATATTCTTTTTCCAAAGTAATAAATAAATTTTAATAGGTTATGAAAAATAGCGAATGCTTACACATAGTTTATTTATATTGTAAAGTCAATTACCTTATATTAATAAAAACATTTAGGTTATAGAAACTTTTGTTTATTAGTTTATATACAATTTCACTCAGCTGTAGAAAATTGCAACTTTTACTTAACCGCTAAAACTCTTGGTTTCCCCAACGAATCTATAGATAAACAAAAAACACAATGAATACACAATCTTAACACGATTCTATATATATTAATACTTACGTCAGTTCTTGCCTTAATTTTCCTATCGATGAGACCGCTGAGGGTCTCCGAACGTACAGATAACGAATCAATCTTCTCGATGAGCTGTTGGTAAGGAGACAACGGTTGTGCACCCATGACGACGTGTCCGAGCTTCGAGTCAATCTTGGCGTCAAGCCTAGCGTTCCTGATCAAGTTGACGATCCAGCATTCAGCTTCGTCAGGATTCATGTTCAGCTTCTCGGCCAACATACCAATGCTGATGCACTGGTGGATGCGGCAGAAGGTTTCGAAGATCATGAGACGAGCGTTCTCTACGAACTCCTCCAAGCAGGAGATCAAGAAGAAGTCGTTGGAGAGAACGGTCTGGCACTCGTGCAATTTCTGACGAGCTCCGTCAAAATCGAAGTTCACGTACAGATGCTCCAAGAACTCGATGATGGGATCGCGGTAAGTGTAGCTTTCCTGTTGGATGACCTTGATGAGATCCTTCAGAGCGGACCTCCTGCCCCTGTTGATGATGACGGCTGTCGCCAAGTACCTTAAGATGTGCGGGCACATCGTTTGAATGGCGTTCAAGTAAAGCGGCTTGTACAAGAACATATCGATGATCAACTCACGACCCATGGCGTGGTTGAAGAACACGAACAGAGACCAGTGAATCAACCAGGTGCGCTGTTGAAGCAAATGCAAGTTGTTCCCGCCGAACTGGTTCGGGCTTGAGTCGATGTACTCCCTCAGCCTGTTCAAGTCCTCCAGAGCGGATTCCCAGTTTTGCACCAGGATCTCGGAGGCCAGTTTACCCCACAATACGCTAAGGTAGTTTTTGTCATTTTGAGGAAGCACTAACATGCAGAAGTACAAATACGACGTGGCGATCGAATAGTTACCACACTCGTACCTGTATTTGGCCAACTTGTACAAACTGTCCATCTTCTCAATGTCAAACTAAAAACAAACAAAAAACATCAACTCAAAGATGCATATAATATTTAGCATTTAAAAACTGAAAATTACGTTCTATAATTGTTTAATTAAGTGAAAAATTTACTCATCTCCAAATACGTGTTTTAATACACAAATTATTAAAGTTTCTAAGACAACAAAACATTAAAAATATTGCACTTTCATCACATAACCATACTGTTCAGTTATATTCGTTATTATTATTGCAACTAAAATTCAAATAATATAGTTTCTTGATAGCATTATTAAAATATTATTATATTATTAAAATGGTGAGATTCAATAATGTAAATTACAAATAATTTAACTTACATCATAATCTTTAGACAAGAAGTTGATTAAAGCCTTAGAATCCCTCATGTTTTCCATGTTCTTCATAACATCATCGTTACCCATGATTTTAAGAATGGGCTCCACTTCCATCTGCAGTTCGTGCAGCTGAGCTACAACATGAGCACGTCTAGACTTCAAGCTCTCCATAACTTCATCATCTTTGTACAAAAGTTTCCTGATGTCAATAGCATAATCAATCATGTTGGTTTTGCTAAGAATTTCCTGCTTTGATATGAGCAACTCATTCTCGTCGTATATCTAAAAACACATAGAACAGAGGATTGTAGAAACCTAACCTAAGTGTCCGGAAAACACAACAGCAATTACCTTTTTCGCGGATAAAAACTCGAGATGGGGAAACACGAGATGACGGTCCAAGTATGGGCCTATCTTGGGCGTAAGATCGTACTTCGACATGGACATTTCTGCTTCAAAACATTTAAATATTACTAAAAGATATTAAACAACCATCTGCGTTTTCTGACGCAGCGATGGGAAAGGCTGGTGCAAATGTTTCCCACTGAAGGCGCAACTTCATGTTGGTTTACATTCGTTGGTATTATTTGTTTTTGGGGATTGAATTTGAATTGAGGAACTATTTTAAAGAACATACATTTGTCGTAATATGTAATTATTTTATTACAGCTAAAATCACTGACAATGCAAAATTTATGATTTGTAACAAGTAGATTAATAGCTTTGTCCAATGAATTTCTCGATAGGATCGTATTTCCACTCCGTTTCCTTCAAATATTCCAGTTCTTTCCGCAAGTTTTTTTGTGCGGTTTTGGTGTTACATTTTGTGAATAAATATTATCATCTCTGATTGCTTGATCCGATCATTATTACATATACGAGTGACATTGCCAAAAACAATTGTAATATTTAAAAATATTGAAAGTCAACATTCTCCTCTCATCATCTTTGTATCAAACTAGCTCAAAAATTAATGAAATAGTTAACAAAAATTAGACATATTGTAAAAATTAAGTTTCTATTTTCAGCTGTGCATTCAATATTTAACATTATTATAGCAACCGGAAATCACAATTGACCATAGAAAAATTAACTGAACATGTAACAATTTATTGTTTAAAAGATTACTTATACTTTTAAAACAAAAAATTGTTTTTCAGAAGAAATAAATTTTAATAGGTTAAGAAAAATAGCGAATCCTTACACATAATTTATTTGTATTGTAAAACTAAATTGCCTTATATTAAAATAGAAACTACATTTAATTTACAAAAAACTTGTTTATTAGTTGGTAAGTAACCGCTAAAACTCTTGGTTTCCCCAACGAATCTGTAGATAAATAAACAAAAAGCACAATTAATACACAATCTTAACACGGTTCTTCAGATATAAATACTTACGTCAGTTCTTGCCTTAATTTTCCTATCAATAAGACCGCTGAGGGTTTCCGAACGTACAGATAACGAATCAATCTTCTCGATGAGCTGTTGGTAAGGAGACAAAGGTTGTGCACCCATGACGACGTGTCCGAGCTTCGAGTCGATCTTGGCGTCAAGCCTAGCGTTCCTGATCAAGTTGACGATCCAGCATTCAGCTTCGTCAGGATTCATGTTCAGCTTCTCGGCCAACATGCCAATACTGATGCACTGGTGGATGCGACAGAAGGTTTCGAAGATCATGAGACGAGCGTTCTCTACGAACTCGTCCAAGCAAGAGATCAAGAAGAAGTCGTTGAAGAGAACGGTCTGGCACTCGTGCAATTTCTGACGAGCTCCGTCAAAATCAAAGTTCACGTACAGATGCTCCAAGAACTCAGTGATGGGATCGCGATACGTGTAGCTTTCCTGTTGGATGACCTTGACGAGATCCTTCAGAGCGGACCTCCTGCCCCTGTTGATGATGACGGCCGTCGCCAAGTATCTTAAGATGTGCGGGCACATCGTTTGGATGGCGTTCAAGTAATGCGGCTTGTACAAGAACATCTCGATGATCAACTCGCGGCCCATGGCGTGGTTGAAGAACACGAACAAAGACCAGTGAATCAACCACGTGCGTTGTTGAAGCAAATGCAAGTTGTTGCCGCCGAACTGGTTCGGGCTGGAGTCGATGTACTCCCTCAGCTTGTTCAAGTCTTCCAGTGCGGATTCCCAGTTTTGTACCAGGATCTCGGAGGCCAGTTTACCCCACAATACGCTAAGGTAGTTTTTGTCATTTTGAGGAAGCACTAACATGCAGAAGTACAAATACGATGTGGCGATCGAATAGTTACCACACTCGTACCGATATTTGGCCAACTTGTGCAAACTCTCCATCTTCTCAATGTCAAACTAAAAACAAAACAAACATCTTTGATATCATATAAAATTAAATAAGTAATAAATAATCAACTCAAAAATGCATATAATATTTAGTGTTTAGAAACTAAAAATTAGGTTCTATGAGTGTAAAATTTACTCATCACCAAATACGTGTTTTAATTAATAAACACAAGTATAATAAATAATAACAATACACAAATTATTAAAGTTTCTAAAACAACAAAACATTAAACATTAAAAATATTGCATTTTCAGTTATATTTATGTTATTATTATTGCAACTAAGATTCAAGTAATACAGCTTCTTATATTTTGGAAGTATTATTAAAATAATTTAACTTACATCATAATCTTTGGACAAGAAGTTGATTAAAGCCTTAGAATCCCTCATGTTTTCCATGTTCTTCATAACATCATCGTTACCCATGATTTTAAGAATGGGCTCCACTTCCATCTGCAGTTCGTGCAGCTGAGCAACAACATGAGCACGTCTAGACTTCAAGCTCTCCATAACTTCATCATCTTTGTACAAAAGTTTCCTGATGTCAATAGCATAATCAATCATGTTGGTTTTGCTGAGAATTTCCTGCTTTGATATGAGCAGCTCATTCTCGTCGTATATCTAAAAACACATAGAACAGAGGATTGTAGAAATATAACCTATTCAATCGCAAAATACACAAAAGCAATTACCTTTTTCGCGGATAAAAACTCGAGAAGCGGAAACACGAGATGCCGGTCCAAGTATGGGCCCATCTTGGGCGTAAGATCGAACTTCGACATAGACATCTTCTACTTCAAAACACTTAAATATTACTAAAAAATATTAAACATCCATCTGCGATTTCTGACGCAGCGATGGGAAAGGTGAACTAGCCGCGCAGGGATTTTGGTCTAACAAGTATGGGTGCGAATGTTTCCCACTGAAGGCGCAACTTCATGTTGGTTTACATTTGTTAGTATTATTTGTGTTTTGGGATTGAATTGAGGAACTATTTTAAAGAAAATACAATTGTAGTAATATGTAATTATTTTATTATAGCTAAAATCACCGACAATGCAAACATCATTATTAATTATTTGTAACAAGTAGATTAATAGCTTTGTCCAATGAATTTCTCGATAGGATCGTACTTCCACTCCGTTTCCTTCAAATATTCCAGTTCTTTCCGCAAGTTTTTTATGCGACTTTGGTGGACATCCTTGAGTGTGTACGAGACTTGGTCTCTGAGCATTTCGGTTAAGGAGACCATCACTTGATTTTTGGATTTCAGCAATGAATCATCAGTGGTCTCGCTCATTTCAGGAGACATCAGAATTGCTTTTGGTAAATTTGGCGTCGACATCAAACCTGTTAAAGCTGCAACAATCGAAGCGAAGAAATAATAAATTTTGTACGGCCTTTCCTTCAGATCGAAACAAGTTTGCCAACATTAAATAAAAACTATAAACTGAGCCGGCAACATAAACTATGAAAGTTTATGTTGCGACATTCAAAAAAGATTAATGTTTCAATGGAATGACTATGAACATATGTATTTTTGTTGTTTAAGTAATTTTGTTAAACGATTGGATAAAAATATGAATATATAGATGATAAGTTTATTAAATATGTAATGGTAAATGAAAAATAAGTGTTATGAAGAGTGGTAGATGAAGATTTATAATATTTTCTTTAAACTTTCCTTTAGATATGTCACTTTGACGTTTAGTAGTGTTGGATAACCTTGAAATTGACGTTTACTGCGGTCGAAAGTGTGCGGGATTTAAATTCTCGATTTCAGTCGGGTTTGAGTCGTCGTGGAGCGCGATTCGTATACTTTCGAAACAATGATGACAGAGATTCAATTGAAAAAGGACGAACTGAGTCCGGGCAGGATTCTGCTGGAGGAGACGTTCCATGTCCTGACCAAGAAAAACTCTGTATTTCGCGTGCGATTGACCAGGAACGGATTGAGCTTAATCAAAGAGACTGACAATCAAATCAAGGAGACCCTGATCTCCACCAGAGACATCATAGGCTGCAGGTGTCTGAGGAGCAAGAAGGAGACCAGCACCTGCTCATGCCAATCTCTGCCAAGGGCCACAATGAATGCAGTGGAGGAGAACTCTGGTGAGCAGGATGACAGTGATGTTAGTGCATACCTGTACATCTATGCATACATAATGCAGTCCAACAAGGGGGTGCCCATGAAGAGGGAACGCACCATAATCACCCTGAGGTTCAGATCATTCGATAAGTATGAGGACAACAACAAGGAGGCTCAGAGATGGAGGATGGTCATCAAGGAGCTGATCAAGGGTGACCAGGTGGACAACATTCCCAGTGGATTGAATCACAATGAGCAGAAGAAGTTGCTGGTGCTCTGCAATCCGAAGAGTGGTCCAGGCAGGGGCAGGGCTATCTTCCAGCAAAAAATTGTGCCTATACTTCAGGAGGCTGAGATTGCTTATGACCTGCACATGACAAAGTATGCAAACTATGCTAGAGAGTTTGTGAGGACATGCAATATATCCCAGTGGAGTGGAATTGTTGTGGTGAGTTTTATAATTAGAAAGTTCTGCAATACTGCATTACAACACTATCTGTTTTTTTTTTAAATTTTATTTTATTCACGCCAAAAGAACATTAAGAGAATCCAATCACTTGAAATAAATTAAATATTATCTGACAAAGCACAATCACTGATATCAGTATAGATCAGATGTTATCAGCGTTGAAATACATTTTAATAATTTTACTTTCATGCAAATTATTTGCGAATTTGCACTTAATACCGATGACATAATGAATTTCTGTGAAATGAATATCCTCTACACGCACATTAAACTAAACATTGTATTCAAATTCAAATCTCTAGATATAAATGTTATAAATTAAAATTGAATTTTTAGATAAACTTGGCAAATGTCATTGAGATTTTGTAATGTTTCAAGTACATTATTATTTTAGTCTCGCATTATGCTATTTATTATTACCGCAGAAAGTTACATTGAAACAACGGTTTTCTATGTATATTTTTAATTGCACAAATAATTGTTCTTGTTCATACTAAATCCTGCTCGTATTTAATTTTTATTGCAACTCCATAAAATTGAAATTAAAACTACTTATTGAAACAATATTAGCGTGGAAAACGTATCGTATTTCAATTTGATTGTCAATAGATTATCTTACAACAAATATTTAGTTAGGACTTTGAGAGTTCCGTACATTGCTTACTAAAATCAATATACATGAATACCTCGCATAGTGCGGGTAATCGGATCGCCTTGTTTGAAATCGAGGAACTAAATATATACGAAAATAAACAGTATAGAGACTTGAAGAAAACGAAAAATATTTTTGTGCACAAATTTGTAATTTAGTTTGTTTTGAAAATTTCAAACCTGCAGTTAATACGGACTGATCGAAGTCGCACTATACCAGAAATTACTGTACTTTAAATCTATGTTTGTATTGATTTTTTTTTTCATTTTCTTTTAAAAAGTTATTAATACTAATCTAATTGTTAAACTCTTTCCTTTGAATTAGAATAGATGATGGAGACAGAATGATGTAATTTAAATAGTATTAATTGAGTAATTAATATTTTTACTTGACATTCGATCATGCTATTAAATGCATGACGTTTTTGTCCTCCGAGTAGTTATATTGCATTCATTCAGTTGTAAGTAATAAACGGGAAATACGTACTTAAATATTAGATACACGAAATTAAAAATGATCACAATCGTTAATTATCATTTTACCAAAATTTAAACCAATTTAAAATATGTTTTGATACATATTATTTAATACTACAATTACATTTATTATATCATTATCTTAATATCTAACTATTTATAAATAGTTTTAGTTCTATGAATAACTGTGACTTCATTTAATACTTATGAAATGAAAAATAGAAAGATTTAAGAAATAATAGTTTTTATAAGAATGTTAAAAACTAAAAGGTGATTCAATAACACAGTCTAAAGTCGAAAATTTATCAGCATGCAAAGTACAAATAATAAGAAATTACCGCTTGTAATTACAATTTAACAACGTTGCAATTAGTTGAAGAAATTAAAGGATCATAATAATATTCGTTTAAAGCAAATTATGGAATTACATTTATTTCAATATAATTCTTTTAAGAAGAGTATAATATTTTTTATCGTGTCGAGATCAAATTGCGATTGGATATTTAATATTCCATAAAATGGGTTTATTGGCTTTCAGCTAATTTAGTTTATTATTCACGATTGAAATATAGTTTCCTGTCTCGCTAAAACCATGGAAACTTGTCCAGTCATAAATAGTTTGCATCAATTAAAGCTGAGAATCTTAGTACTAAATCCATTAATCTAAATTGTACATGTATTCACCAAATTTATAAATCGAAGATTTATAGTACAGTAAGACCTCGTTTAGCGCTTTAGATACGTTCCAGAACGCTAAACGAAATAGCGTTATAGGAGGATATTTTACTACATAGCAAATAGGGAAACGGGAATACGCGACCAAAAATAAACAAATTTTACTTACATTTAAAGTTGTATTTTTAGTAATTTGCATTATAATATATGTTTTATATAACACAAACATTTGCACAGAAATATTAAGTTTATTCGTGTGATATATTTGATTTGTTTGGTTCATTAAGCAAATGTTGATCGCACCCAAAACTCCTCTTCTTGCTTTTGCACTCCTGTCAAAATTTGGATCATTCGCTACAGTTTGATCAACGATTTAGGTTATCGTTTCTAAACTTTTTCTAAGAAAATCTGTAGCAAGAGTTCTTTTGGTGCACCATCTTCAGAATCACTATATTGGCTTTCTTCAATTCCTTGTTCTGCCAGTTCTTGAAAGTCGTCGTTGATAAGGTTCTCGCCAAAAATCTGCAGTAACTCCTTAATATCCTGCTCATCTGCATCTCAAACAAGCATAGATTCTGGAGAAGCACAGAGCTACGTGTTCGGGAACAATCGTATTATGTATGAATCAATGAAATACCACGGTAATTTTAATGCGAGCAAATTTTGAGCTTTTTTTTAATGTAACAAATCAGCGTTAATCGAAGCAGCGCTAAACGAGGTCTTACTGTATTTATAAATGAAGTTATACTAATTATTTCGAAGAACTTAACATGTAATATACAAGAATAGGTTTTAACATTTATAGATTTTGCAATATGCACATAGAAATCGATGTTATTGCAAATGCGGTTTGGGATTTTCTGAAGAAAACAATGAATGTAACAACAATAGATGCGTCGTGCGAACTTTTCCATTTGAATTAAAGCTGCTCGCGGTTGTATTTTCCTGCATTAAATGTAATGTATTTTAAATTAAATAATGGAGAGAGGATAGATGAAACTTGTTTGCGTAATGATAAATGCAGGAATCAATTTAATGAGGGATGTGTGCGCGTCGAATGGTAATTTAGAAGATGGAAATACACCGAGCATTTTCCCTGTTGTTTACTATCAAGGATCGCAAATTGCAGTAGATACATCACGCTATATATATGTATATGTATACGTTGCGGTTTTTCCTGGTATGGTTTTTATGAATGAATGACAATGACATTTAATTGCTATTTACTGCCTCTAATTGGTTTATATTAAATGTAATGTAGTTGTGCGATGAATGCCAATTGTCGACCACCAGCTCTCTCTATACGATACATTTTTAATATGATCAAATTTGCGTGGAATTGGATATATTGAGTTGGCGAAATACGAGCACGTTAATACTGCTGATCGCTCATTTAGTTTAGGCTTTGTCGATTGTTAATTAATTAATTAAAGTCTTGATGATCCTGTTACATGATCAAATTAATTGTTGACGAACTATACGATACAAATTACTGACATAATCAATTTTAAAGAGCAGTTAGTATTATAAGAAGAAGTTCTTGAAGTTTGACAGCTTAAATAGTTAAGCAATATTATTTGACAGTTAAAACGTCAGTGTTGTTTATAATTGCAGATGGTATTATAATCAAATTATTTCTATTTACAACATATTAACATCAAATACATAAGTCGTAATAAATAATATTAAGTGAGATTGGCCTTTGAAGTAGCAACTAATTAATAACAATATTCATACCGCGACCATACAGGATGAACAAAGGACTTCCTGCTAAAGTTAATTAAAATGAGATAAAAACGTGATGCTTTACATGTTCACAAAATGCGCTAATGCTATCGTTCGATTGCAATGAATCGCAGATACCAATCTGAATAATGCTTATATCGTGTGTAGTTTTGGACTTTGCTTGTTGACTGTCTGATTCGAGTTTACCTAATAATACAATGGAAAAAGGCGACCGATGTTTGTGTATTTTTCTCCCCTTCGTAATCCAATATTTATTAGTAATCCATATCTAAAGCACCGCAGATTCAGACCGTCCCGTTTTATGACACACGTATATATGACTGGAATATAGAACGCTCTTTTAAATTTAAAGTTCTCATTTGAGATTTCAGCATTTCGTTTGACATGTGTCAATTGTGAAATTATTTAAATTTTAAGATTAGTGTTAACCCTTTGTAACACAGATTAATTTTTTAAAAAACTCTCGATTTTTAGGATAAATTTAACCTAATACTTTACGAATTGTCTATTTTTGGAACCACTGGGAATTAAAAAGCTTTGAAATAATTATTTTGTATGTGGTCCCATGGTGGAAGCACTGGCACTGGCAAAGGGTTAAGTGTTTGTTACAATAAGTCTACAAATGAAAAAAAATCGAGAATTCTGCACTTATTTCAATAACAAAAATTCAAACAGACATTTAATGTGTCTATCCATTTTCCAGTGCTTCGATGCGTGTGTAACGAGCCGGGAAAGTTTTTGGAACATCTCCAACAAAAGTTTTGTTTGTCTTTGTTTCTCGCTCTGATCGATCCGCATCCACTATTATTTGCAACCTACGTAAAAGCAATGTTGATTATAGTCAATGTCGATGCATTAGTGTGCATATGTATTCTCTATTGTTATGATAAAATAAATACGAAATTATTTATAGAAATTATGGATCGATCGTTTAATGATGATTGATTGCATCACTTGCGTAGATGCAGTTTCTCACCTGTATTTATGTAAAAAACACAGGTATATTCCATTCAACAATGTTACATAATATCAGACAACATTTCTCTTATATTTTTTTAGCAATTATTTCTAATTATATTATAAGAAGGAATGATTTTACATAGTATTCTTCTTATAAAAAAGCTAATTAACTAATCCTGAGAAAAACGTTAATTTGTTGTTTATTAATTATGGTTTTTTTTTTCAATTTATTTTTAAGGTACATAAACCAAACAAAAAATGTTCCTTTTGATCATAGCCAGTTTATTTTTAACTTATTTTTTTTAAACCGTGTAAAACGAGAGATATCTTTTTTTTGTTACAGACATCTTAAAGTACTAATATATTTGTTTGTAGTTGTATTGTGACCCAATTTCTAAGAGTTTTACATCAGCTACTTGCTTTGACACAAGGTGACAGATGTCATTACAAATGAAACGCCACCTAATTTT